TTTTTTTTTTGAATGTGGCCCGATGGACCACAAATCAGATATTAAACTGATCAGAACAGATACTACACTTGATCTTAGCCAAAAGGCCGAGAAAGGTATCTCTCTTTTTTTTTTTGTTCACACCTTTATCACTGTGACTTCCCCTTGTCAGCCTTTTCCTGACTCGGGGTTAAAAAAAAAGAAAAAAAAAACCTTTAAAAAAAACGGGAAATTACAGTGGCCGGTGATGCCGTCCCGTTGGGGGAGCACAACAACATTGTCAAGGGATGCCGGCCCCGGTTCCCGGCTTGTATTAAAAAAAAAAAAAAAAAGGAGAAACTTCCGAGAAAGCTACAGCAGACGAACTTAGCTTAGTTAAAAAAAAAATGGTTACAGCAGATACACACTCGATGCTGCCCCCCCTGTTATGGCCTCCGGAGCTTGAGACAGAAGCCACAAGTCTCTTTTTTTGACTGGTGTTTTTTCTTTTTCTTTTCTTTTTTAAAGGGCCCAGTGCCCAAGGCAGAATATACATACAAAAAAAATAACTTCCTGTTTCAGGGGCCAACACAAGGTCTCCACTTCACTCAGCAAGTGGAGCCCGTCCCCTGTGAAAAGAGGAACGAAAACAGGAATAAAAGAAGGAAATGAAAAGAAACGCAGAGAGTCCACCTATCCACCAATGTATACTAATTTACTAAATAAATTCATCACAATGCACCTAGTAACTAGGCTGTTTTTCCCGGTTCCCGGGCACCCAACGTATGCCCGGGCACCCTCCAGACATGAACCCCGGGCAGTGCCAAAAAAAAAAAAAAAAAAAACGGAAAAAAACATATGCTGTGTAGAATTGCAAAACATTAAAAAATAATAATAATAATAATAATAAAAAAGCAAAACAAACGACTTTTGGCTGAGGGTCACATTAGAATTCCACCACCATGCTCCTGCCATAGCCTGGTCCCATTCCACTTCGGCCGGCAATCCTGTTAATATGTGTTGTTGAGTCAGCATCAATGGCAAGGCCTTCCGCCGAAGCACACGCGTACCAGCCACAAAACATACCCGCCGTTCTAACAGGTTCGCAGACTTGGGTTGACAGGATTGGCCATAACGCACGAACGACCGCACAGAGTTACGAAGCCACACGCCCTCCCTGTAGTGTTATCCCTACGGTGGTTACTCCGTGAAGCAAAGTGTTGTTGAGTCAGCATCAACGGCAAGGCCTTCAGCCGAAGCACACACGTACCACCCACAAAACATACCCGCAGTTCTAACAGGTTCGCGGACTCGGGCGCCGCATCAACATACCAAAATTGTAAAGAATCAGGGGATCTTCCCTGGTTTCAGATATGGAACCTGTTTGCTGTAGGATACTAATTGTACTGATTAGCTCCCGTCATTTACGGGAGTAGCGAGATGAGGGCGCTGTGACGACAGTTCGGGACGACGGGTGGATCGGCTATGTTTCTTCCCTGCTACCGGCGCGTTGGTGCTGCTGAAAGCTTCGATTGGGTTCTTTTACAACTTGTGGTGATGTTCTTCTATAATCGCAATGATGATGTGTTAGACTCTAGGATACCTATTCATTTTAGTTTTCGTCTTTGGCAAATGTTGGGGCATTGCTTCGTGTGGAGAGAGAGAGAGAGAGAGAGAGAGAGAGAGAGAGAGAGAGAGAGAGAGAGAGAGAGAGAGAGAGAGAGAGAGAGAGAGAGAGAGAGAG